GAATTGAATATTTGATTGATGTAGATTATTGCTTTCCTATTTAAGTTTTTCAGAATTTCTGCCGTGATGAAATCATAGCCTGGTGCTTTCTTGTTTTTTAGGGACATGATTATGTTTTTTACTTCCCCTGGGCTTGACGGTTTTAACGGTTTATCCATTGGTAGTGGGGACTGCAAGAATGTGTTAATATGGTCCTCCCACTCATCATTTGTGTCATTTTGTTTGATTTTTACGAGGTGGCAGGCAAGTAATTCGGTTTTCTCTCCATCACTTCTCGCCCATCCTTATGTAGTTTTAATCGGAGGGATTTGAATTTGCGGTCTGTTGAATTTTTTGGTAACTTTCCATAGGGAGTAGGTGTGATTTGGTCCCGGTGAAAAGTAGGTGAGAAAATCTTGGAATTCTTTGAGTGTGCGCTTTACTTGCCTTGAGATGGCGTTACGTTTTGCTTTATCTTGGGGTCTTCTGTTGTTTTGCCATTCTTTCCTCCTTTTCCGTTTTTCTCGAATTAGTTTCGTGATTCTGCTTGAAAAGAAATACTGATTATTGGTGTTCAGGTCTGGAGTAGCTTTAGTTGCTGCCTCTTGTATTTGTCTGCTTAGTACTTCGATTGCAGATTCAATATCTTCTTGGTCTTTAAGCTTCATATTGAGGTTAATTTTGTGTTGCAAATGTCGTCTAAACGATTACCAGTCTGTTATTGAGTTATATAACCGAGGCGCATTTTGTTTAAATAGCAGCCTACTGCTAATGAATAATTCTATTGCAGAATGGTCCGACGACAATTCGTAGTTAGGTTTTATGTGGCACTATTGAGTCCTGAGGTTACAAAAAAAATTTGTAAGTCAGGAATTTTCTTCAGATCAGTTGGCCAGTAGGTAGGATGTCCAGTAGATATTGCATTTATTGCAGGTTATAATTTATTATGTAGGTGTTAAGCACTATTCCTCTGGTTGTAGTTAGTCTTGAGCCCCAAGCCGTATTTTTTGCGTTATAATCTCCTCCGGCAACGAACTTTTTTCCCAGTGTTTTGAAGAAATTATGTAACCCTTTATGACTGAGCGAGTGTTTGAGGACCATATATAGCTGAGATAGCAATTTTATCCATCGTTGTTTCAATCTTAACAGTAGTGACTTGTAGATAGTCTATTTTGTATTTTTCCATTTCATTATGATTGATGGTGTTTTTAATTATCACTGCTGTTCCTCCATGGGCTTTTCCGTCTGGATTCTGAGTGTCATAAACTGTGTAACCTTTGATTTTAAAGTGGGACTTTGTTGTAAAGTGGGTTTCTGATATAAGCAAGATGTCTATATTATTTGTTTTTAGGAATAGCTCAATTTCTTGGCGGTGTTGCCCCAGTCCATTGGCATTCCATGCCATAGACTATAAAACAATGCATTGTATTATGATCCTTCGGAGAATTTATTTATGTGCGTGGTAATAAGAATGAGCAGTGTTTAAAGCTGTTCAGCTTGTATAGTCAATATATTTTTAAGTCTAGCAAAAGCTTGTGCTTCATAATTTGAATTTGGTAAATTGTTTTCATTTGTAGCATTTTCTGAAGTACTTCCTTGTAGTACTTGCGAGCAGGATGTTCGATTCCTCAGGTTTCTTGGTGCTAGATTGTTGATTATTTCAATGTATGTCTGTCTGTCTGAGATAAGTTATATTCTGCGGTGTTGCTTGTTGGGCTTCTT